TTTTTATCATTTTTTTCCAGCGCCCGAATGGCCTCATCAATCTCCTCCATGAGGTCCTCATGCTCAATGTTCGACGTGTAGTGTTGCACACGTTCGACACAGTTCATGTCTGCCTCCACGGAGGCTGCCTGATTCACCACATATTTAAGCTGGGAGTTGATGCTTACTGCCATGGTGAGGCTCAACGCAAGTAAACCAACATCAACATGGCCAAATCGCAGCATCACAAGAAGCACCCCAACCAACGCAACGGATGTCAACACAACGTTACTGAGTATCTCAATGCGCACGGCAAGCCAACAATCGCAGACTGTCTGCATGTATGAACAGGCATAAACGGTATCGATACGCCGTAGTGCCTTCGCCACAAAGGCGGCGGTTCGATCGTATGCGGCGATGGTCCACCGACCAGAGAGCATCTCGCCAAGAACCGAGAAGACAGGGGAGTTGGAGCGATTTGCAATGCGGCGCATCTCGCGGTTCGCGCTGTTATAAAACACCATCAGCCTGTAGTACACCAGCAAACATGGGATAATGGCAATGAGTACAAAGTACTGCGAAATCGCCATCACGGCAATGGAAGAAATGACCGACAAGGTAGATTGGAAAAAAAATATAACACTACTTTGCAGATTCGAGTCAATGGTGCTCATGTCCTTCGAGAACCGATTCATCACACGGCCAAGTGGCGTTGTGTCAAAAAATGACATGGGCGCCACTGCGACGGAGCGCAGCAGTTGAGAGTGCAAGCGCCATGAGCCGATACGTAACACGGCGTAGGCGGAGGCATTACGCAACGGGGAGCATAACGCACTGGCGGCAACAAACGCAACGTACAACAGCAAGTATGTCTTTGGCTCCAATTCAAACCTTTTCACAGACCAGAACGAAAGCCAAAGCGAGGGGGACACAAGGAGAAACTCCGTCACAATAAAAAGGAGAAATACCAACCCACAAAGGGTGGCACCGCCGCAGGTCTCCAAGTACTTGACGTATGTCAACAATGAGACCGCACCCACCGCTTTCTCCTCATCTGTCATGAGTTTTCCGTCCATATTCTTCTCCTCAGTGCTCCCGTCCTCCTTTTTCTTCTCCCTATTCTTGTTCTGCTGCTGCTGCTGCTGCGACTGTTCCTCATTGTCTTCATCGTCGTAGAAGAGAAGCGTACTAGCGTTATGATTCAAATCATTATCGTTATTGTCTTCGTCCCCGTTGTTGACGCCGGTGATTTCACTCTTCGGTGCCCGCAACTCTCCCACCGCCTCGCCACCTTCAACGGAGAATGACGCTGCTGCCGCCGCTGCTTCTGCTGCTGCCGCAACAATGGGTGTTGCTTCACGACCCGCAATGAACCGCCCGTAATCCTCGTACGATCCTGCAAAGGCGACGGTCCCGCCCTCCTGTAGAAGAATGATGTGGTCTGCGTAGCGCAGCTGATGCAGTTGGTGGGTGACGAGCATCCGCGTCGTTGACCGCAGCTCGCCAAGAATGCACTCATGCATGACGTGTTCCCCAACGTGTGCGTCAAGGGCGGAGAGTGGGTCGTCAAGCAGATACAACTCGCGCCCTGTTGCGTACACGGCCCGGGCAAGGCTGACGCGTGCCTTTTGCCCACCACTCAAGTTTACGCCCTTCTCACCAATCTCCGTCTCCACACCGTTCAAGAGAAGCTTGAGGTCCGATTCCAGCTGTGTGCACCGCAGCGCACGCCGAAAGCGAGCCTCGTCCATGTCGCTAAAGAAAAGAATGTTCTCTTTCAGCGTGGCGTTCATGATCCATGCCTGCTGCGGCACGTAGGCGATGTTTGGCACGGAACGGAGAAAACCCGATGTCACCTCGTGGCCGCCGAGCAGAGATTCAATCAGCGTGGACTTGCCGCTACCGGTGTCACCGACCACGCATGTAAGTTTTCCCTTCGGAATACGCAGTGTAATGCCGTGAAGGAGGTCTTTTGGTCGCAGCTCATAGTACTGGCTGGAGCTTGTAGGCTCTGCGCCATCCGGCTTCTTCTTCTTTTGCGCGGCCCGCAGCTCCTTCGCATTCGGTGGCAGTTTTTGCGGTACAAATGTGGAGATGGTAGCGCGTGTGAACTCCGCCGCCACCGATGCCATCATGGGTGTATGCATCAGGTCTTTGATCTCTTCTGGTATCGCCTGGCTGTTGGCCGTATGCTGCAGAAGCATCTCCCGCATCCCGTCATCGGCATCCTCGCATTCAATGAACTTCGTGACGCGGCGCATGGACACAACGAAGCGAACCAAACCTGAAAGGGCGACAGGAATCATGACAAATGGTGTCTGCATGATTCCGAGCAGCGCAATGGCTGGGAACACAATGGCGGGGGTCAACTCGTGGCCCATCTCAATGTACAGCAAAAAGACAACCGCCACGACAAATGCCGGAATGGCGTTGGTGAGAAACGAGATGGAGACATACAACAGTTGCAAGGCACGCAGAGCGGCGAGCTCCTCCCGTCGTCTCTCCTCAATGCGTCGAATAAACGACGGTTCCCACGACATAAATTTCGCTATTCGCACGCCGGAGAAAAACTCATTCGTCACCTTCAGTCGCGCATCTGTCGCCCGCGAGAGTCGTCCGTACACGGCGTAGTAGCGGCGCATGAGAATTCCCTGCAGTGGCATAAAAAGAATAAGGACACCGAAGCCAGCAAAGGCACACCAGCCAACAAGGCGATACAAAAGCGCAAGGGCAAAGATGAGTTGCAGCGGGGCACCAAACAAGAAGGGTAGCATCAGTGGAAAACTCCTCGCGCTGTTCATGTCGCTGCTCACCATGTTGACAATGCGGCCCACGCTCATCTCCGGGTGGGAAAGTGCCTTTCGTAAAATGGTTCCACATTTCTCAAAAAGAACGCCCTGCAGTGCGTTCTGAAACGTGTAGCCGCTGCGCCATCCAAGCTGCGTCAGTTTGCTGCCAGCCGCACTCTGCACAAGCGTTAAGAGAGAAAAGGCCAAAACAAGCAGCAGCCCGTCACGCCAGCTCGGGTCCGCTGTCTCGATGTACTCGATATAATACTGAAGTACCACCGGCACGGCGAGTTGACAGGTGTCACGGAGCAAACGGAAGGGGATAAGCACGTAAACGTGGTAGCCAAGTGCGCTAAAAAGGGCGCGTGCAACAGACATGGGCTTCGGCCTCTTCTGCGTTGTGACCGGCATACCGCCCTGCCGCCGCTTCTTCTCCGGCAAGGGACAATGAATGACAATGTCATCCACGCGCTCACAGGTGGCGGTGGCGTTCCCGGAGGACGTGTTAAACAGATATTCACCCTCCACAACACCATTCGTAAAGGGCGAGCGAGACGCGTTCCTGTTTTCCTCCTTCAGGCGGTGAGTGGGCGGCACACGCCACTCCACCCCTGCGTAAAGTTGCCGCGGTGTGCGCTTCTGCTGCGCGTACCCCACCCAACGGAGCTCCCCCGCACTGTCACGGTCCCTGCGGTGGCGCACCTCCACGCCAATGTACGCATCCCACACATGACGTTGGAACCGCTGCTGCTGGAGGACACGCGACAGCATCAGGCCACTGTTGTATGCGCGGGACATGCGCGTTGGTCCTGGCATCTCCTCTTCACTCAGCTCCTCCCGTGCAGCGCGGAACATGAGGTCGCCTATCCATGTGTAGTACAGCTGACCACAAATCCAACTGGCGGCGTCTTCGGGCTGCAATTTATACGGCGGCTCCGGCCCCCATAAATCATTCAGACGCTTCCGCCACTGATGTCGACGTGTATTTAATTGCTGTTCGCATTTCTCCAAATTTCTCATCGCCTTCTTTGCCCGTTCATCAAAAGAGCGTTGATTTTCGCCCTCCTTCCCGTTCACCGCGAGCAATGACGCACGTGTCTCAGCATCAAACTCACGACCCATTTTGCCGGCCGTTTTCTTTATTCGATTATTCTTCTCTTTACTTTATATATATTGCCCTCTTTTATTTGCTTCTCCTTACAAATGACAAATCTACAGAAATACATACAGGATACGGTATACACAAAGCAGTAATGCGTAGTTAATGTAAGGACAGTTATTTCTACAACTGTTGTTTTTTTGTTTTTGTTTTTTTTCCTTTTCTGCCCACACACACACACACAAATACGCCTCCCTCCTCTCACTTTCAGTCATTTATTTTTGCCTGATTTTCTCCTCGCCCCCCCCTCCCCACACGGTGGCTGTTGCGTGGAGGCAATAAATTATTGCAGAACACATTTTGGGCATTAACCTCCCCAATTCTGCTGGTGTGCCTCACTTGTTTCTGCATGTGTTTCTGCCTGTGTGCACACAATAGGGGGCGACATGACAACACGGGGGGCCGTGTAAAGACAAATCCTCCGCAGACAGACAAAGACAGGAAAAGAAAAAAAAAAAAAAAAAAGAAAAAAAAACGATGCCGGAAGCAGCGGTTGTATAAAAATAAAAATAAAAAATAAAAAAAAATATCAACGCCACGCTTCAAACTTTTGTTTTCCTCGCCAAGACAACACGCACAACACCGCGAATCAAAAAAATCACGCCTCCACATTTCATTCATAAAAGATAATTTTTTTTTTTTTTTTACGTTGGGTTTTGGCCAGTGGAGGACCAAAGAAGAGAGTGTGCAAGAGAGAAAAAAAAAAAAAAAGACATACACACATGCCTGCAACACACGTGTATACATCAACACAAGACAAGACACGCAGCACACACTCCACTCCACTCCACTGCCAAAAATAAAACAAACATAACACACACACACACACACACACACACACATCAAACATATAAACAAATAAATAAAGTTATCGTGATATCCATGAAAAACCACCATAAATAATACACGTGCATACAAGTACATGCACGGGAAAAAAGGTATAAATATCCGTATAATTGGCTTTTGTGCGAATACGCTTTCAAGACACCTACAAACGCAAACCCCCACACACACACACAGAGAGAGACAAAAAAAAAGGTAGACGGTTGTGTTTCCTATTGTACACAACCGCACTAAACACGTTTCATGATGCCACGCATAGCATTAGACGCGGCCACGGACATTTTCGCAGCGGCCTTAGCTCCGGCGCCGAGAGTGAGGCACGTCATGTACATGCCAGCGCGACGAGAAAACGACATGGTGCGCTTTGTGGTGGTGGCCATTCGTCTGGTGCCTTCGGCTGCGGCGTCTGTCAGCTTCACTCCACATCCAATCGGAAACAACACGAGAGCCTCATAGCACCAGCCAGTAGCCAAGGCAGAAGTGTCAGAAATGGCAGTCCTGGCGGCAATCATGGCTTTTGCACCGGCTAACTTGAGTGCTGACGCAGCGCGACAGGCGCTGCCAACTGTCATGTAAAGATGAAAAAAAGCAACCTGAAGAGTGCCTCTGCCGCAGCGCACCGTTGCACCGACAGTAAAAAAAATGCTCAGCTTTGACAGCTGGATGGGATAGACGTGATTCACGAGCCAAATTAAACCCTCCAAAACACGTCTTGTGCTGCCAATTGCGAACCACACCACCACTTTCCTTGAATCATGCAGTCGTTGCAACACACGCACACAACGCACGAATACCCCCGCCGGCATAAAGAGAAGAAAAGAAATCAATGCGAAAGGCTCTGCGCATTGCACCACGTCATTAGGTCCGTCCAACGGCACAGGAGTCAGCGGATTCTGAGCCTCAAACCATTTCTCCTTGGGGCACGGCGTCAGCCTACACGGTGACGGTTCGCGTAAAGGCATTTGGCGCTGTATGGGAGTGAAATGCCCCGCCTCGTCTTCTAAATGGCTCCTGCATTCTGCCTTATTGAGCCACACCTCACCCCCCGCACACGCGCAGAGCAACGCGTAGTCCTCTTCGGCCCTTTTAGCGGCCTTTGCTAACTCCTTCTCCTCCTCCTCCTCCTCTGTCAGCAGCCTTCCCTCAGCGGTGGTTTTGATGGTGCTGCCGGAATCAAATAAAACATCCCCGCCCGTGTTGATGCCAACTGACGCCGTGTCCGTTGGGGGCGGGTTGCTACTTTCCCCTGGTGCTTTGGGGCAATAAAATTTGCGAAAAACACGTTGGAGGCCCCAGACGTGCTCTTCTATGAGACGGTGCATTGCCTCCACCGCCTCCCGCTCCAGTCGCATAATCGTCGCCTCGGACTCCGGAAGAAGCCGAAGTCGCTCATCAAACTCCGCGGAGAGAATGGAACGCATCATCAGAACCTGTTCCACTATAATGTCAAAGCGCTCCCGAGACTCCTGATCTCTGTATAGCCGGCAAAATGCCCAGAGCCTTCGCCTCCTTGTGTGCTCATCATCATCAAACGCCTCCCACACCCCGCCAATGTGCTCCGTTGAGTGGGAGGAGCGTGGCGTTTTAAACCGCGAGTCGTAGGCACCACCGGGGTTGGAGAGCAGCGATGAGTCCCACGCAGGAGAACTGCCGCCCTCATTGGCTGCAGAAAGTGCCCCCTTTGCTGTCGCCATCGCAGCAGCATCGGTAGAAGAGAAAAAGGGATCCCTGTAACTGCTGGTATAAACGTCTGAATGAGGGCCCGGGTTCATCGCTGTGCGGGGCTGTAACTTTTTGTCGTTATTCGCTAAATAAGTCCCTGGAAGTGTGCGTCGCGCTTTCACGGAGTTATCGTTGTGCATTCCCCCGTCTGCCTCAGCCTGTGCCGTGAACAACAACAACAAAAAATCAGCACAAACTCCTCCCCTGCGACAGTGTTTTTTATGCCAGGAAGAGTGCTACTCGCAAAACGTGTCCCCCTCTTCCAATGATAATTGCTATCCCACACACACACACACAGAGAGAGAGAGAGAGAAACAGCAAGAAGAAAGAAAAAAAAAAAAAATTCGGCACGGCAAAAGCCTCCCACAGACGGTTGTCAACAAAATAAAATTTAGAGTGGAGGCTGCAAAACACAATGCTGCAGCCAATACAGAGCCCCAGCTTTAAGAAGAAACGTTTCTTTTTTTTTTTTTTTTTTGTATATTTATTTATTTATTTATTTAAAGAATGGTGCATAAGTAAATAAGACTTTGGGAGGGTCAATCACTAAGTAAGAGAGAGAAAGAAAAAGAGAGAGAAAGAAAAAGAGAGAGAGAGAGCCAATGGGTGCAATGGAACGTGTGAAAAAAACGTCCAGAAGAAAGGGAAAATAATAATAATAAACACAAGCAAACAGCCAAAATGTGACTCTCCACCTAACGCCTGCTCCTCGCCAGGTCACATTTTGTGTCGCTGCCTCAGCAACCCCCTCCCTCCCGCCCACTCATTCCCAACACCAAATTGCGCCGTGGGAAGAGTATCGCTCACACATCATTGCAAGGCTCCTCCCTCACTTACAACGTCATTCACGGCAATAAGTGTACAAAAGCCGTATTCATTGCCAAATAAAGAGGAATAATAAGAAAAAAAGGAAAAAAAAAAAAGAACAACTACAACTACTAGTAAATGAATTGAGCCCAATCTTTTACAAATGATAGCGTCAGAACAATTCGAGACGAAGAATCCACAAATTTAAATATAAATGCATCACTGTACAGAGCCGTTCTCAAGGTCACATATATATATATATATATACGCTTATCTTCGCCTGTGCTTTAACTGGTCTAAGCCACATTTTTTATTTATTGTTTTCCACGCCGCTGTCTCATCCTGGCTGACCATTCGGCGCGATCTTCGCTCATGGGTCTCCAACAACAGAAGTTGAATACGCAGCTTTCGGAGGGACTGATTCAACTCCCGCTCTGTACCTCTACCGCCTGCAAGGGCATCACTTGTGTCTGTAAAATTGTTTGATACACATTGTAAAGATTCACGGAACTTGCCTCCTGCCCTCACGCCATTCTCTCCACAGGTAGTCACTGGGGTTGGCATTGGAATGGCATATTTCGTTGTGCGTGCCGTAAATTCGTCGGGGATGCGTAACAAAGATAAGTCGAGTGAAGGCACAAAGTCTGGAGGCGGTGGCAGGGACTCCGAAGACCTGCACCATAACACGTTAAAGCACCACCATGGGTCTTCCTCGGCATCCCACCATCTATCATCATCTTCCTCCTCCTCCTTCACCGCCTCCCTTTCCTTCTTCTGTTTCTCCTCATCCGTGGGACTTTCATAACAGACATCACTATCCATCTTACCCCCAGTTTTAACCTCCTCCACTTTTTTACCGCTCTTCTTTGCGGCAAATGTGTGCGTCGCCCCATCACCGCTGCGCACGGTGGTTGAAGCCCCACTAGAGCGAACGCTGCTGCTTACCCCACAGACGTTCATATTTTCGTTGGAATTACCCGTTAGCTTCATTGACGACTCGGAATCTTGCATCCGCGGTACGCCTCTTTTTTCTAGCACAGTCCTCACGCATTCCAAGACTTCCTCCGGTGAGCCCGTCCGTTCTTCGGCCTCAGCTTCCTCAAAGCAACTTCTGAAAGGCAGAGACACAACCAAACTTGAGAGAATATCCATTGAGCGTGACGGTTGTCTTAGCTTCGCTTCATCTTCCCCTCCTTTGGGCCTGGCCTCACTTGCCTCCTTTCCCCGCATGGGTTTCTGTCGTTCAAGGCGACGGTCACGCTCTTGTAGAACCATGAGGCATAGTTGACTGACCTGGCGTGCAAACGGCACCCCTGCGGAACCATTCCTAGTAGCATTAATGGAAGAACCCTTCTCTATAGGAGAGACAGACGTCGTATTGGACCGTGCAAAGACCGCTGTCGTCTTTAATAGCTGTTGCTGTTGCGATTGCTTCTGATTATATTTATTATTGCGCTGGGGCTGATGGAATAATTTTTGAGAATTTGAATCTTTATCGCCCTCTGTGCCTTCTCTTGCCGTTGTCCGAGCCATTCCCTGTGGTGCGGATGTTGACGGCACGCACGTTTTAGTAGATGCATTGCTTTCCCGTGCATCTTTGAATTCAAAAGCGTGTTTTTTTGCAATATACATTGGACTGGGCGTCGTCGCAAGACTCAACTTTCCCCCGGTATTTCGTAAAGCCAGTGACGGCATCACGAGACAGCCAGAGCCCCTCCTAGTCATTTGTCGGATAAATGGCTTTTGTCCGGAGCTGCCAACAGCGGCGCCCACGCACAGACGTAAGGGTGAAATGGAAGCCCCCTCCTCTGTCTTCGTTAGTGAAAGCTTTCCTTGTAGGATGGGCGCCGACTCCAGACGTTTAAGTGGTGTTCGGGGTGCCGCTGTTGTCGAGACATCGCATGACGATGGATGGCTGTCGAGAATGGGTCTCGACCTCCGGCCTGACTCATTCCAGCGCCTACTGGCGGCATGCGCTGTGCCTTCACTAAAGGATACTCTTCGCCCCATCGAAGGCGTCCCTATGACGCGGCGGAGCTCTCCGCTGCTCCGCAACAAGGATCGTTCAACAAATAGACATGTGTCGCTGTCACTGGCACGTTGAGAAATCGTCCTGGAAAACCCGGCTGCTGGCGGCGGTGGGCGGGAGGATGGCAAGGACGCTGAAATTTGCATGCCTCCACTGGCAATTCGACGAAGCACCCGCTTTTTGGCCAGTAGTTCCTTCTCGAATGAAGTTGTCGTCGCCGGCAACACGTCTGTCACTTCCCTGCGGAAGCTGCGAGAGGGTCCTGTCGCCGTCGTCGGGCTTTCTGCCTTTGAGTTTAAAGGAACGCCTCTTTGAGTGCCCCTTCTGAGCGAATACTGCGTCAGCCGGTGAGCTGTGCCGCCATAACAATCGCTAAAGTGTGATGAAGGTGCTGCCGCCGCCGCCGGAGTTGAACGCACGTCGCTGCACCGCACCACCGAAGAAAGGGATGGTGCCGCATGTGACACCATCCACTTCAGCGCCAGCTGCTTCTGCTCGGTGCAGGCATCGTCCAACATCCCTCTATCGACGCGTTATGTCCGCCCCCTCTCCCTCACTCACCCTATTTCTCCCTCTGCTACTAATTATTTTCTTTTCTTTTTTTTTTTTAAAGAAAGGAATTGTTCACGTGTATTTTTCCGTGACGGTGCCTTCCTCGTGCCTTTTCTCGTTCCTCCTCTCTGCTGTACAGAGAAAAAAAGAAAGCCCTCACAGCACCCCAACAGGTCTCTCAGCCTACGTGTCAGCTGAAAATTTACTCTAAAAAAAGAAAGGAAAAAAGGTGCATCACAGGATGAGAGATTGAAAAAAAAAACAGCATAAAGAGCGAAAATGGCCACTCTCAAGTGTGTGTTTGTATTTTCTTCTTTTCCCCCACCACGTCTGCAGGTGGCTGCCAGTAAAGACCCATGAAACGTGATTGCACGAAGCCTGCAGTTCCGCATCGCCTCCCGCACGCATACACACACACGCACATCAATTGGCGTTTAATTTACTTCCGTCGGCGCAGCATGTGCTCGCACCAAAACCCCTCCGCATCTCAGCCCCCCTTTTCACACTTAATGCTCGACTTGTGTGCATGGATGACCACCACGCATGAAGACGGAGCAATGTGCGGACTGGGAGACAGAACTCAACACGGCCCTGGCAATGCCCTCGGCCTGGCTGCAGGCTTTTCTCTCAAGCATGGCGTGTCAATGCACCCATTCCTTTTTGTTGATTTTCCCCCCTCCTCCCCGCACAATGAAGGGGGCCGAGCGCAACCAAAGCCCCCCGCTCACCCACCCACAATGTGTCAAGCCAACGTGACGCCAGTAACACATATCCATAACCAAAGGCCAACCGAAGTGACAGAAGCGAAAGACCCATTCATTACTGCTGCTTGAGAGTTGACCATTCAGAGCCGCTATGCCACGCCAAACGAGGCCCACGACGCGCCGTGGGCACAAACCCATAAAAAAACAAAAGGCCGTTCCCGCAGACAAAAAAAAAAAAACAAAAAAAAAAGAACAAAACCGCCACCAAAAGACATACGACCATGCAGTGAAGCGGTGCAACACCTTTTGCAAAAGATGTCTGTTGGAAGCACGCGTCCCAGCTCTCCTCCAACCTCCACGAGGCACCACAAAGTCCAACACGCATGTAGGGCGCTATTCCGAGGGACGCCGTCGAAGAAAAAGCGTTCACCCCTCACGGTTCAACCTAGTCGACATTCGATCATATCACCCTCAAAGTCTGATGTCAACGGGCACACACTTAAAAGAAAAAACAACATCTAATCAAATCACACACAAAAAAAGAAAGGGAAAGAGAAAGCAGAAAAAAAAAAAAACAACAGTCAAGGACCGCTTGACACCAAATACTCACAAGAGGGTTCCGCTGCAAGCAAATGAACGCACCCACGCAAAAACAATATCACGTCTACAGTGAAATGGAGGGTCACTCAGCCAAGAAACAAAAAACACACACACAGAAAGAAAACAGATAAAAAAAAAAATGAAGCGTGTGAATGTATAAATAAATCCCCGCATTGCATACGTCAAAGAGAGAGAGAGAAAGAGAAAGAGCAAGACAGACAAGTATATATTAGCAATATACTTCGTTAAAGAGAAAATCACCACCCCTTGCGTGGAGTAAACGTTCCCCCACTATCAGCGTGGGCCTCTTCTTCTCCCTTCCTCTGCCATTTCCTCTTCTCCTCCTCTCCTCCCTCTCCCTCCGGCCACCACCACCACCTCCTCCTCCTCCTCCTCCTCTTCCTACCACCTCGCATGTAAACAAAAATGTTTAAGTGGCAATGAAATGGACAATCCAAGAGCAAACTAAACAACAACAACTACTACTACATAAAGAAAACATACAGATACGCAATAAATAAGTATAAGAAGGATAAATTTGAGCATAACTCTTCTCGTCAATGAATTTGAAGCTGTTTCTATTATTCTTTTTTTTTTTTTTTTGAGGGGGGAGAAGGGGGGGAGGTTTCGTTTTTTCTCCTTTTTGATCGTCCACTCCATTTTGTTGTTGTTTCTTTTTTTTGTTTGTCGTTGTCGTCCACTCTTCATTGTATTGAACACCTCTCATCATCGGGCATGCACAGAAAGAAAAAACACGCGGCCCAAACCTTCTCAAGCAATTTATGCCTAAACGTACATACACACGGAATTGGTGGCTGTGCTGCCCCCCTTCATCCAAAGCAAAATGCATGTGGAATAAAAAATTATTGTTGCCAAAATGGTACTGCATACATAAGGCGCCGGGTTCTCCTTCCATTGAACTCGTTTCTGTACTTTCGATTATTATTATTATTATTATTTTCCTTTTTGATAAGTCTGTGTGCATATGTGCGGGACTGTGGCATCTGCTCCTGTCGCGCGCCTGTACTTTGAGAAAGAATTGATAGGTTGTTGTCCGTGCTAGCGGCGCTCAATCAGAAACAGGCTGCAGTTGTCCATGCCGATGCCCTCATCGTTGTCACTCGGTGCCACACACTGCGCGAAGATGCCGGCGGCGGAGGTGAGCAGCTGAGCATCCAGCGAGGCCGTTTCTGCGGCATCCACGCCATCAAGCAACGCGGACGCCTTCTGCGGCAGTGCCAACGCCATCTCCCTTGCTTGCAGGACCGCATCCATCACAGACCCCGCCACATCCAAGTCGTTGGGCGTGTTGATAATGGCGTGGTGCACTTGGTGCAGCGTGGCGCTATCCCACACACCGTCACATGCGGCAACAACACCCCACCGCGCGTTGTCCTGCAAAAACGGCACAGGCATGATGGTGACATCCGGGACCGCAATAACCGCCTGTTCTTTGGGGCCTTTGCCGCCGCACTGCTTAAAGTCATAGTCGCCTAACGCCCGTGTCACAGCCAGCATCCCCTCAATGCGGTTTCCAGTGATGGCGTAACCTGCGGCCTTGATCCGTGCTTCCTCCGCCGGATCCGTAATGCGGTGCGTAACGCTGATCTGCCGGATGCTACAAGGGGTGTACACGGCGGCCCCGCTATCACCAAGGTTCGCACAAAGAATAAAGTTTGCTGTGATGCCAACTATACATGCGGTGCATCCGGTACACTGATAATCCCCTCTCATTCCCTCTGGACTGTGCCGCAGGTCATCATCAAGGGAGAGAAGTGCATCCTCCATGATGCTAGCAAAATATGCTTGGAGCATCTCCATCTCCCGCTGCGACACGACCGGTGAGGCGGCGTTGTAAAGCCTCAGATTGGATCTGGCCGAAAGGGCATCTGTTGTGATATCACCCAATCCACCAACATCCACCATGGAGAAAAGAGCCTGAGTACCAACCGGTTTATCGGCTGTCGCTGCGGCAAAATTTGGCACCGCTGCCGCCTGTGGTGGGGACGCTCGACACGCGTTGGTGCTCTCGACATATCGCCGCAGTGTCTCCGACGTGAAGCCAACCTCCGGCACGATGTCATCGTTGCTAACCTCATTATCTTTCTCGTCGTCTGGGCGGCTCAACTGGCGATTAAATGCATTCTCCCGCACGGCAACCGGTGATGCCTCCCCTACAGAGAACAGAGCCGTCGAAGACTCAAAATCCAGTTGGAAGAGAAGTGAACGAGCCTGCACGTCATCGTGTCGTGCGGATGCCACCGCTTTGCGTAGATGCGACTCAAAGTTACTGGCGGCAAGTTTCGCCACGGCGTCCCCTCCGTGACCGTCAAACACACAAAACAACGCCATTGCTATTGTCTCTGGTTCCGCGTCTTCTGGTGAGTCTATTGTTTTTGCTGGTGGTGGTGTGGCGTCCGTGTCGGACAGCAATTGGGGGGAAAGTGCGGGAATGGCAACAACAAAAGCCGCCTCCGCATCTTCCTGCGTGGCACGCCAACCCTGCACCTTCGCTCCGAGTGAGACCAGCTTTTGGACCGCCTCACCCACACGCAGCACTTCACTCTCCGGTAGCGGTTTCCCACTGTCGCGTTGTGGCAAGCGCGCTATGGGCAATCCACCAGCCGCAACAGCAGCACTGGTGGTGGTATCAATAGCCACGCTCCTCTTTTCCAGAGCAAAGTTATGATTCGCACCCGACATTAATCGCCCGTGTCTTAAATCCATCGGAAACGGCATAGAGGACGTGGCGGCCGACGGCGCCGGAGTCGCCGAAAAGTTGGGGCTAGCGTTCGCACTGGGAGAAAACGCCTCTAACGCCGGCGATGCGTAAAGACTCAATTGATGTTGCCGATGGTTCAGCTTCTTCAGCTGAACTTCATAGCCAACACACGAAATATCACGGACAGCCTCCTTCAGATGTGTCCCGCGCGTGACGGCCAATTGATCCACCAGCGGATCGTACACCTCGGTGTATTTCCAAGTGAAACAGCGGCACTTCTCACACCAAAAAATGCGGTCAAAGCTTGTCATAATATCAAGCAAATTCAGAAACAGTGTACATTTCGCCTCGCATTCCTTATAATGCCGCGTGACGTGTGAAGGGCATGTGGATCGCAGGCAATGCAAACACAGAAACGCAGCGGGGCGTCGATTGCAGTAAAGACAGTGGTGATACAGATCATGGGCATGGTATCTGCTATAGTCCACCCCGCGCACATCCTTAGCGATAAACTCCTGACTGCATTTGCACATCGATTGTTCCTCACCACTCACCCCGTTGTTGGCGCCCATGCAAGCTGCCTGGCTAATGTATTTCCCCACCTCCTCCTCGGCGGATATGAGCATGACACCCTTTTCAGCATTAAAAAGAAGACGTGCAGCCACCTTGCAATCGACCAATGGGTCCTCATCCACCGGGTCAGTCGCGTACTGGGGTGAGATGCTACCAAAGGTAAAAACATCATCGCTATCCCCCTCCTCCTCGTCAAATCGATCGTGCCTAGCGGAAGGATTCATAAAGCTACCTCGCCTCAACTCACTGCCACGACCGCTATTGCTCTTGTTGAAGCTTTGTCCCCCTATTGTTCGAATACTACCTAACATAATTTCCATCTGAGTCTGGCCTTCTGGCAGCAACTCATACCGTAAGAGAAATACATGCTCCTCCGTCTCTAAAATCCCAATGGTGCGAAGGGAGCCCGTGAAGGAGTCGTCGTCCCCATTCATAAGTTCATCGAACCCACTGTCGCCCCTTACCTCACGGTTTGTTTCTTCATCAGGCATCATCTGGCTCGGCTGGTTGGCGTTAGGCATGAGTCGCTGTGATCGGTGGTGCTTCATCATCGAGAAGTAAAGGCTTGAAAAACTGCTCTTGCGCCCATTTTCCCGCGTTGCGGCAAATACGGAGAATCCCTCAAGTGCCGGAAAGCGGCTGACAGACACTTCAACGCGTCCCGTGGATGAGCCAGACTCCAACTGACTGGAGGATTCATCCACATTTTGGGGCGTCTGCATAAGGTTGTCCTCAGCAGTTTTGCTTGCCATCGTGGCATCCTCACCCAGCAAAGGAGGCGTCTGAGAAGAGAAATAAGATGCTGGACGCTTCAGTATCTTGTCGCGTTCACGACGGTCTGTCCCACTTGTAATTCCGACAGGAGCCGCCGTTTGGAAGTTGCCTTGCGATGCCGAATTTCTCAATGGTGTCCGCCCTTCCTTATCCGGCCCTGCAGAATCATTACGACGCTGCTTGACCGTGCCGTCTGATTTAGGCGGCGGTGATCCTAAGTCTGCAGGATCCTCCAAAACCTCTGAAGAGCAAAGAACGTTGCTTGTGGTGCGTGCTACTCGGCATATTGTCACATGCTCTTTGCTTCCCCTCTTCTTTACAGTATTTACTTTGGCAGACGTTGAGAGACTTTCCGCGGTATCATTCCTCGCTTTTAAAGAAGAACCGCTACTCGGCGAGAGAACTCTACTGCCAATAAGACGCGGCGATACAATCGGCGGCGTGACAGGACCCGGGGCACAGCGAGAATTGTCCCGCGAGTTTTGGGTGCCGCTGAGTTTACCGGAGAGCGGCACGGCTTCGATATGACGGGGAGTTACGGTGCACTCCAGAGAACTCCTCCTGCTTTCGGGAGACTCCGCGAAAGAGTACTGAAATTTGGTGCTCGAGGCAGGGAAAGTCCACTGACGCACGAGGGCAGAGGAATCTCCCCCACGCGGGGTTCCCCATGAGCTCAATAAGACGAGCGGTGGCCCCGCGTCATCAGAGAGCTTTGCTGCCGGATTATCTTCCTCCCCTCCATCGAGGAGGCGCCGTGGCTGCCGCTCCAACTTGGCGCCATCTAATTCACGTGGGAACGGCGCCGTGGTAAAGCTGCATGCCTGCCTCAATAAGCCGCATCCACTGTCATTGAACGCTGTCGTTTGCATCCACGATGTGGGGCTCCTGCGGAAACACGGGGACAGCGTCGTCGTCCGGCGTTGACGCTCCTTGAAAGATAAGACTGTCGATGGCTGTCTGAGCGTCACGGCAAACGTATCCTTCCGGATGCTGTCGTTGTCGTCATGTGACTGTCTCTTGCACGTCACTGGAGAAACCACGGGAGAAAATTGCGGTAACGAGGGTGTAGAATCTCGAGTATCGGTAGTCCCCGCCTTATCGTCCCCTTCTTCTCCCTTCATCGGTTTGCATCTGCCTTTGCCAATCATGTGTGCATTACTGCTGATTCCCTCCCCGCTGTTGCCTCTCAAAAAGCTGATGGTTCCTTTCGGGACACGCCCGCAACGTCCAGCAACAACCCGTGGTGGCCCAGAGCTCTGTGGAGCGAGACCTGCGCTTCTTTCCTTCGAAGAAAATCGATGCAACTGTTCCGATACGCGCTGCCGTTCCTTAAAGGACAGCGCCATCATCTTATTGCCCGGCTTCTCTGCTGGTGATGGCGGTGGGGATCGTGGGTGCAACGGGGTCTTCACTGGCGTGACTGGAAAAGAGACTCCTTCCTTTAATGACAACCCCATCCCAACACTGTTAATGCCCGATGATCTTGGCGATGTCAACTCTGGCAACTGAAATCTGGACATTATTGGTGGAAATGCAACGGGGAGCGTAGAGCCGGATGATGAACCGCGTTGGTGCTGCTGCGACATATCGCTCACCTTTTCTGACGATGTCTCACTCCTCAAATATTGACTGTGAAGAGGAAGGGATACCTGTGATACGTTCATGAGGGGCGCAGGTGAGTTGCCGCCGCTGTCGTCGGATCTACCACCCAAAGGCGGCATTCGCAAAGTAAAAAGAAAAAAAAAAAAAAAAAGGGAAAAGGAAAACCAAGACGCACGCCTTAAATCAATATGTGTGCACGAAGCTGTATGTATATCTGTATATCTGTATATCTGTATATATATATATGCCTACGCAACTAATGAGGTTTCCTTCTTAAGGCCGTTATGCCGCACGCTGCCTTCCGAATGATCCCTCGCAAAAACGCCACGTGGAGCCAACACGCTTTGTTTTTTATTAATATTTTTTTTATTATTATTATTCGTGTATATACACCGTCCTTTCGCAGGTGCACTTCCTTCTTCTTGTCCCTCCCCACCCCCACACTCTCCGTACCCTTCTTTCTTTATATATTACTTTTTTCTTCTTGTTTGTTTGTTTGTTTGTTTTCCCCTCCCCCAATCCTTCGCCCCACGTCAATGCGGTGTTGGGGAGCGAAGGGAAAATGTAAAACACAAATAAGTTGAAGACTACAAAAAAAAAAGAAAAAAAGAAAAAAACTTCACGTTCGGCCCCCTGAAGCGCAGCCACTTCTCCGGTGAAGCGCAAAAGGAAAAAAAAAAAGACTCTTGGGCTACTTGTGTTTCTGTGCGTGTATATATATATATATATATGTGTGTGTGTGTGTGTTTCTGGACGGGTGGGTGACCGAGGGGGTTTTGGACGACCTGCGCTTTCCCACCGCCTCACGCTAATGCCGGCCGATGACCTCCTACGCTCATCGCATGCCAAAATGGAGAGGAAAAGAGGGAAAGAAAAAAAAGAAGGAAAAGGAAAAGAAGGAAAAGAGGGAAAGAAAGGAAAAGAAGAAGGAGGCACACACTGTAAGGGGAAACAAGAGGAAATGGCAGTATTGTCTGCATGCAAGCACAAGCAGGCATTTAGACACGGAGTGAAAAAAAAAGAAAAGTGAAAAGAAAGCAGAAGCATACATGAAGAGGAAAAGAAGGTTTCGTTCAGTGGAAGCAAGCAGGACTCCTCACAAATGAAATAATAATAAAAAAAAAAAAGAGGAGAATAAATATGTAAACAAAACAAAGAAAAAAAAAAAAAGAGAAGACAAAACGGAGCTCGCGATATCGTCAATAAAATTTATGCTGCAAACTACAAATAAGGGGCAGGCCTGTAACCATTCACACAGCATAAATGTACACCGGACGTCGAGGAATGAGATCGATGAAGTCTCATGACGGGTGTTTCGCAGAAAACAACCACAAAAAAAAAAAAAAAGGAAAAACCAACGACACGCAGCACGTTCATATTCACATTTTCTTTGTCTCTTCCTACGGTTGCTATATAAATCCCATGCGTATTTCCTTTCCGGTTGTCTGTAAATTTGTGTGTGTGGAGAAAGACTCGGCGCAACCCAGCAAGACACGCATGTACGTGCATATTCTATATGGAGGCCACATTTATGTGTCCCCTGCCCTTGTCCAACGGTCCCACCTCACGCCGTGTGTGTGGCATCTCCTCCCCCGTCCTTCACGTCGCCGCCGTCGTCGTCATGACTGTCGACACCATCACGTCTTTCCTCCATCGCGGGCTGCGTCGTGGGCACGTGAACGTTGAACTCATACCCCTCAAATGCGCGGCTGACTGGGTCGCTCGGGTCGCATGGCTGATCCAACTGTGCGATCTTCGTGCTCTCATGGAGGAATCGCTTGTCAAAGTACCGGAGGTCGTTGCGTCTGACATCCGGCACGAAATTCGGTCGTATCTCGCGCCGCAGAAGTTTGTCAAAGTCAAGTCCCTTAAAAAACGGGTGGGCACGAAACTCTTCGCCGCTCGTCATGCGCTTCAACGGGTCCTTCTCCAGCAGGCGTCCCAGGAGTGACTTCAGCTCAGGCGAAAACCTCGCCGGACAGACAAGCGGCTTGTGCAGAATCATCTCGTACATCTCCGCCACGTTCGGTGAGTAGAAGGGCGGCATGCCGTCCACCATCTCGTACAAAAAGGCCCCGAGGCTCCACCAGTCGACGGCGGTGGTGTGGCCGGACTTCTTCACCAGCTCCGGCGCCATGTACTCTGGGGTGCCGCAGAAGGTGTGGGTCCGCACGTCTTCCGCCACGTCGCGCTTCGCAAGGCCAAAGTCCGTCAGCACCACGTGCCCCTCGCGGTCTAGCACGAGGTTCTCCGGCTTCAGATCGCGGTAGAGAACACTCTTGCTGTGGATGTACTCCACCGCCATACCAATCTCCGCCGTGTAGAAGCGTGCACGCTTTTCATCAAACCGCTTGCAGCGCTGCAAGTGGAAAAACAGTTCCCCGCCGCACAGAAACTCCAGCACAAGAATGAGATGTCGCTTCGTCTGAAAGGCGTAGTAAAGCTTCACCACAAACGGGTGGGAAATCTCGCTGAGGATGAGCTTCTCGGCATTCGTGTGGGGCACCAGATGGTGCTGAACCACCTGATCCTTGTCGAGGATTTTCAAAGCGTAAATCTTTCCCGTCGCCTTGTGCCTGGCTCGCATCACACGCCCAAAGCTGCCCAACCCAATAACCGTCAGCAGCTCAAAGTCTCGCATAGACACATTTACATTTTTATCAGCACCACTCCCTGCGTATAGCACCTTCTCCGTATTCTCCAAGTCATCCTCAAATTCCTCATCCCCGCGTTGCTGATGTGCCTTCCGCACCTGCTCCCGGATGGCTTCCACCCACTGCGTCTTCGCGGCCTGACTAGAAGCAGAAAGCACGTAGCCGCGCGGCAGAAATGGACCAACGATACAAAAGGCATGTGGGTGAATCGCCACGTCCATCACCTTCGCCCCGGAAATGTCAATCTGTCCAGTGAGAACCGAATTGGGTGGTTGGGTATTACTGCTGCTGCTGCTACTACCGCAGTTGTTATTGTTGTTATTATTTTTACTATTCATATGACTATTGTTGGAGCTGCTGTTGGCACCATCAATTGTACTAATGCCGCTACCTGTACCTCGTCCCCGCCGTGCATCCTTCGGAAGGGACACAGATGTCAACCCCTCATCGGCCTCACCGTTACTCTTCGCCCTGCCGTAGAGCAACACGGTCCCACGCAGCTCAAAGTATCGCATGTGTAGCTTCTCCCCAAAGAAGGTGGCACGCTGGCCAAGTTTCAGCAGCCATCCCGATATCGCCACTGGCACCGCAGGCACCGCACAGCGACGGCAGACACGCTGTTTCTCCGTCAGCGACCATTCGGTGAGGATCGTCTTAAATTTCAGGCATTTGGAGCATGTCAGGTAGCCACAACGACGGCAGTGATGTCGAGTGAAGCGTGCCACCATCGCCCCGCACACATCGCACACCTGCGATGCATCGTCCGGCTGCCACAGCTTCCCGCCGCAGCCCTTCGTGGGGCATTCCCAGCGCTTCGGCGGAATCGTCCTCCGCGGGGACGGAAACGTCACCCCGCACTTCAGGCACTTTGGTGTGAACACACGTCGCACCGTCTCGACATTCTTTTCGCTCGCCGCCTTCGCCTGGGAGCCGCCGCCGCCTTCTTTGCCGTTGCCGTTGTTGTTGTTGTTGTTGTTGTTTTTCTCACTCTCTCCTTGAGCGCCTCTCGGGTCGACCGTGTCCATTTATTTCTTTTTTTTTTTTTTTTACGTGTGTGTAAGCACGACACGTGGCCGTCAATCAACAAGGGCCAGACCTACAGGCGCACTACACGACACCAGCACTGCGCTGCCGTCACGCCCAGGTGTTGTTCTCCTCCCACACACACACACACACACACAGAGCGCCTCTTGCAAAGCCTACAACTCCTGTCCTTCTTTTTTTTCCCCCCACCCCCTCTTTCCCTCGGGAGCACCGATGATGGCGCAGTAACGATGACTACTGGACAATGTCCCCAGCCACAAGAAGCAAGAGGAAAATGGAAAGAAAGAGGAAAAAAAAAAAAAAAGGGTGCATGCACACACCAGGCACCTCCGCCTCCACACCCCTCTTTTCACGGCTGAGCGGCCATCAAAAGGGACACTCCATGACTGTGACACCACGCAGAAGCCAAATAAAAATCAAACAAAAGAAAAAAAAAACAGTAAAGACGGCATGTAAACTCTCATGGATCCACGATGTCAGTGCGTAATGCGCAGCCGCGATGGCACGACAAAAGAAAAAAGTTATGAAAGCAAACAAATAAATACAGAAAAAAAGAAAAAAAAAAGAAAAAAAAAGAAAGATACGGGCGCCACCTGTCACATCCCTCTCTTTCTCTCCCTCATGGCCACTTCCCAAAGTAACCGCCCCGTGCTGCTCCCCGCACAGAAACACACACACACACACACCGCCACTGTGCTGCTCCGATCAATAATAAAAACAAAAATAAAATAAAAAAGTAAATAACGGGCAAACCAGAGAAAAAAAGAAAAATAAAAGAAAAATAAATAAAAATAAAAATAAAAGATGTGGAAAAAGACAAACAAAAAGAAAATCACGTTGAGTTATGCGAGAGGAAAATGGAGGGACTGGCGGTATATTTATATATATTTGTATGTGTATATATGTGTATGTGTATGTATGTGTCGATTCAATCCTTCGTAGCACACAAACAGAGAGACGGGGTTTCCCACCACACACATGCAATTACTCAATTCGCACCACACGTGTACTTATGTGTCTCCTCATGCACGACTGCCTGTTCTCCCCCCACCTCCCCACCTCCTCCCTGTACATGTGTACATGTATATGTGTGTGTTGTTGCGTCATTCCCCAATATTCACTTCCACATCCCTCGCCACAAAAAAAAAAAAAAAAAAAACAGATATGAATGCGTATGTATTAGTGCTGTTTATTGTCTTCTTCCTTTCATCCTCCTCCTTCTCCCGCCTCTTCCTTTTCCTCTCGCTGCCGTTGCACCGTACCGTTCATTGTCGTTGTGTCACAGTACGTGTGGGTCACAGTCTTATTTCTCTTGCTGGGAGACAATAAAAAAAAAAGGAGAAAAAGAAGAAGAAAAGGAGGCGGAAAAAAAAGGACAAGGGCATCTCCCCACCTCATCCCCTCTCTTCTCTTTTCCGCTTCCGTTTTTGTTTTTTTGTTTTTTTTTTTTTTGTTGTTTCCTTTACGAGGCATCAACGCCACCGCCACACTCATGTAGCGTCATGCATATGTGCACACACAAAGAGGGAGAAAGAGAGAGAGGGGGAGAGGCACATTGAGTATATACATACACACACACACATACATACATACATATTATACAGATGTCATCACTACCCGACTGACCATTTCCTTTTCGCTCGCTCACACCGTCCCGCTCTCCCCTTGTCACACGTCCGTCCATCCGTTGTTTTTTGTTTTGTTTGTTGCCTTCCGATATAAATATATATATTTATATATTAATTTGTTTTTATTATTTACATCGCATATATATATATATAAAGAGAAAATAAAAATAAAATAAAAATCCAATCATCCCAAATCACACACATGCACCCACACACACATGCATACACACAGAGTGTATATAAGATAAATATATCTGTATGGATGTAATGAACGCCGGAGGGAAGGGGGTGGGGAAATAAATGGCCAGCGGAAAACACAAAAATAAATAAACAAAAACGTCAAAAGAAGAAGAAAAAAAAAAAAAAGAGGGAAGGAAGGAAGGAGGGAAAGGAAGGTTTCATAACAATCCGCCCCGCTCCCACTCATCGTCAGCCATTCCGTCCCTCAAAGCGGCCACACTGACACCCACTCAAAGCCTCCATGCCTGCCCGCCTGTGGGTGTGTGTTGCCGCCACAACTGTAAGAAAAGGAGCGGAAGTGGAATGAACACAAAACACAAACAAACAAAAAAAAAAAGTAAAATAAAAATCGCAACGGGGGAAAGGAAAGGAAGAAAAAAAGAAGTTTCAAATCCCGCGTCCACGCCCCACCCGACCCGCCAAAAAAAAAAAAAAGAAAAAAAAGTAAAATAAAACTCACGAGGGAAATAACACGTGTCCGTGTGCGTTTTTTGTTTTTTCTTTTTTATTGGATGAATGCCCCGTCAAACAGAGGTAGAAGGAAGAGGGGGGGGAGAGAAACAGTAAAGCGGAGGAACACACGCACCCACACACCGAGATGAGTGCTGGGAATGTCAACTAAAATAAAACACAAAAAAAAGAAAAAAAGGAAAAAAGAAAGAAAAGTACATCAAAAAAAGATAATAATAAAAAAAAAAGGAAAAAAAAAAAAAGAACGAGGTTTCAACAAAAAAAGCAAAAAAAAAAAAAGAGAAAAACGGTGCCAAGAGATCACTTCATCCATCATCAATATTGCTGGAGCCTAATAGACAAAACAGGCAAACACACCGTCATTGGACACACAGACACCCTGATGTACATACACATGTACATACGTATATATATACATACAATATATATATACGTACAGGTAGAGTGCACATATGACCCGTTCTCTCTCCCTCTCTCTCATTGTGTGTAGGCACACTGCCCCTGTCCATGTCACACTGCATGCCGTTATACACACACATATATATGTATATATTCATGCCGCACGCTGACGCATGATTGTTTTCCCCCTCTCTCTCTCTCTGCCGTGTGTATTTGTGTGTACATGTGTGCCTTCGCCATGCAACACGCCCCCGAACGGAACGCCTGAATGGAAGAACGGCGCGGCAGAAGAGGAACAAAAAAAAAAAGGGGGGGGAAAAGAAACAAAAACACAAATAAACACGCGTAAGGCGGTGTCGTCCCGTGGGATCATAACGACAAGTCATCCCCCACACCCACCCACCCACCCACCCCGCCGCCTCACCAGAAAAGAAAAGCAAATAAATCACAATAAATGGAAAAGAGCCAAAAATTTAATAATAATAAAAGCCACAAGAGAAAAAAAGAAAAAAGAAAAAAAAATTTTGTAAAAGACACGTACAATCAATCAAGCAGAAATAAAAAGGACAAAACAAAAATAAAATAAAAAACAGCACAATAAGATCAAATCAAACCACAAAAAAAAAAAAGAAAAAAAAATAAAATAAAATAAAATAAAATAAAAAAAGCAAAGAGGTATAAATGAGGTTCTTTAAAATGTATGATCCTTACTCATCCATTTTTTATTTTTTTATTTTTTATTTCTCCCTCCTCTCGCTCTCCCTCTCGTTATATATATATATATATAAGTACATACATGTATATGGCTGCTATATATATATATGTGTGTATGTTATGTGTATATATATATATTGGCACACGAAGAGAGAGAGGTAGTCATCACAGAACAGTTATGTATACTTGTATCTCTATACATCATCTCAACAATGTCTAGCACGCATGTACATTGGGAAATAAAACATTCGTACAAAATGTACATGTAATGTCATTTTTTTTTTTTTTTTTTTTTTTTCTCTCTCTGTATGTGTCTCTGTGTGGTTCGCAGCCACGCCAAAAAAATGGAGGGGTTATTTATAAACGTCCATAAAATTTTGTTTTTGTGTGTTTGTGTGCGGGGGCAAAAAAACAAGGAAAAAAAAAGAAAGAAAAAAAACATATGATAAAATCGTTTTTGTTTGTTTGTTTGTTTGTTTGGCCTTCTTGTTAAAAATAAAAGTAAAAATAAAAATAAAAAAATGTTCATTTCTTCTAATTGACGCTCATGTTTACTACTCTTTTCGTTTGTGTGTTTTATTGTCATCATCGCCGCTGCGCCCCTCCTCCCACGTTGAAGGGGAGAGGCAGAGGCAGTAGGAGCCCCTGCAGCATATAAGGAGAGAGAGAGGGAAGTACTGAAGGGGGGGGGAAGGAAGAGGAAAAGGGGCAGTTGTGCAGCCACGCGGTGTTGACATCCCACACGACAACTCCCCCCCTCCTCCTTTTTTTTTTGTTTGTTTTTGTTCTTTTGAAGGGCCTCCAATCCAATCCCCTCTTTCTTTCTTTCTTTCTTTCGCCGCCCCACAACAGCGTGTCCCCCGCACATGTTTGCGTACACTACAAAGGCACTTATATGTACAGTCATCATCATCATCATCATCATAATATTAATATTATTAATATTAATAGTCATCATTTCTCTTTCGTTCTTTTGTCCCCCTCCTCTCACCGGCACCCCTCTTTTTTTTTTTGTTTATTCACGTGACATGTGTGTGTGTGTGTGCCCGTCTCCAATACATCTCTCTCTTCCTTCTTTCATCCTCAATTAATTAAGTAATTAATTTCTTCATTTCTGTTATATTTTCATATTTTTCTTCCTTTTGATACTCTTTTTTTTTTTTTTTTTTCTTTTTTATATAAAAAAGGGGCTCCGTTCATGCACGCCGTAAGTACAAATGCCTGTGCCTGTGTGCCTATGTGCATGTGTGGATGTGTGGATGTGTGGATGTGCCCTTTCTCCCTTCTCTCTCTCTTTCTTTTAATATATATATATTTATATAGTTATATAGGTATCTCCTTCGTCTTTCTTTTCATGTCCATTCATAAACTCCTCCCTTCCTTCCTGCCATCCCTGCCACCACACAAACACACACACACAGGCGGGCAGGCAGGCAAACAGGCAGGTATAGGTGGGCATGTAATGGATGCAATTATACATGAATAACCCAAAAGAAAAAAAAAAAAAAAAACAACGAGGGGGGCAGCTGTTTTGGGGAGGTGGGAAGGTGGGTGTATGTGTAATGTGTATAGATGATAAACGTGATCCTTTAATAAAAATAAAAATAAAAATAAAAATAAAAATAAAAATAAAAATAAGAAATGGTACTTTCATAGATGTCATACATAAATATACATACATGCACATACACACATATACATATATATACATGTATGTATATATGGCCCACTCCCCCTTCTCCCTGTCTGTCTGTTTTTTTCTTCTTCTCTGCCCTGTGTGCATGTCTTTATTCCTCCCCTCCCCCTTCAGTACCTCCTCCTCCTCCTCTCTTTATATAACACCACTGCGGCTATGCGCAAGGCACCTGCACAGGCGGCAACCGGGAATTGGCAGAATAACGGCACACACACACACAGAAGTACATACATACATAGATACATTGATTGCAACCACCTGACAGCACACAGACAGAAGAGAGAGAGAGAGAAAGAAAGGAGGTTATAAAACAAAACAAAAAAACAAAAAAGATAATGGGCAAGGGAAAACAAAACAAAACAAAAAAAGAAAAAGTGGGATGGAAGGGAGGGTAAAAAAAAAAAAAAAAAATTTTTTTGTGGTTGTTGTTGTTGTTGTATGTGCATGTCTATCCGCGCGTACACATATGTATAAAATGTATGTATAGATATATATATATATATATATTTATGTGTATGTATGTATATATATATATATATATATAACTATATGTATAAATAAATAAATAACTTTATATAAATATATATATATATATATAAATACGAATCAAATAATAAAAAAATGTGTAAAGAGAAAAAAAAAGCTCAAAATATACTTTTGCCATCACCCTCCTTTTTATCTTTTCCTTTTGGTTTTTGTTTGTTTGTTTGTTTGTTGTTTTTTCACGCTCCTGTCGGTTCAATTACCACCAAATGTGGCGAGAAAGTCACACACCTCGTCATCGTCTGGTAAATTCATCTCTGTATTGGTGTAGGAGAGAGTCTCCGGTTCATCCAAGGCGTTTGTGGCCCCGAAGGAAGCAAAGTTGCGGTTGAACATGGGTGTTGGCAGGCTACACCCTTCCATGCCGTCCTCCACCCGCATTTCTGCATTCAGGGAGTGCATGGAAAGAGGCAGCTCACTTGCCAGTTCTCCATCATGACTCGTGTTATTCTTCGCCAAGTTCTGCAGCAACTCCTCCAGAGATTGGCGGGTGTGGAATAAAGGCGCAGCAGGCTGTTGAATAGCTGGTTTTTCTTCCGTGGATCTCTGCTTCTCAGTATCCCCTTTTGAAGCTGAATCTGTCGCTGCCACACTCTTCCCAGACTCCTGCGTACGCTGCACAGAGACGGCTTGATGAGCCTTCTTTCCCGGCAGAACACCAATGCGGAAGACAACCTTGTCACCAACTGAAAGTGCACGGAAGCCTTGCATTTGAATGTAAGACTGATGCACAAAAATATCCCCAACGGATACCGGCGTGCGCACCACATGCGCTTTCACCCCCGTGTCAATGTCATCCTTCGCATCCAACGTCTTCAGCTGCGTGGCGACACCCCCTGCTGTCGTTGTTGGTGGTACTGTTGTTTTCGTTGTTGTCGCCGTGGATTTCTGCCGCTGTTGTTGTTGGGGCTGTGGCCGAAGGGGGATCGAAGGTGAGATGACCTTAAGGTGATGTGTGGCCGTGAGAAAGCCAAAGCCACGCATCGGATTGTAGCGCTTCACAACCCCCTCGTACCACTCGCCAAGTTCATATCTGGTGCCATTCTCCTTCGACGAAGGGTTGGATGCGACAAGGGTAGCTTGCGGGGGCAAACTCACAAAATTGCCAGGCGCTGCAGCCATCCGCGGGTTCTGCGAAGGCGAAGGTTGCAAGACGACGTAAATAGGCGGTGTACTCATCGGCGAGACGGTAGAACTCATGGATGACCGCATGGTGAGCCCCCATCCACTGCCCGAAAGAATCCCAGGCGATGTATCACGGCTCGTCAAGTTGCTTTCGCACTCTTGCCTGGATCCTTTTCTATTGTTGCTCTTGTCTTGCCTGGCGTGGCTGATGACGTGTGGAGCGGGCACGCCGCCGGGATAACTCGTTGTGCTGCTGCCCTGCGTAAATGACGGCGGTGTTGGTGGGTACGTGTGATACGACGGCGCCGCCAGCCGCATCTCCGCGGGTGGGTGGTCGGTGTGGCCCACTGGCGGCGGGGCGGGTTGCGGGTACGACATGCCGAGCGCAACAAACTGGGAGCCGCCAAAGTCGTACGTGCCTCTCAACGCACTGGGATGAAAAAACATTGGCGGCAACGACGTCAAAGTTCTCGGGCGCACAATGACAATAAAAAAATTTTGTTTTTTTTTTTTTTTTCCCTCTCTTCTTCTTCTTCTTTGGGGTTTTGCCTGTATTTTCTCCTCCGCTGTCCTCCTCTCTTTTGTTTGTGTTTGTGTCTTTGGATGAAATGAGCGGCCTGCGGTGTTGTCCTCGTCCGGCTCCGGGAAGTGAGAAGTGAAAAAAAAAAAAAAAAAAGTGTCCGCGTAAAAAAAATGAAGTGTGCGCCGCTGTTGTCTGCTCCCTTCCCGTGTGGTTTTCCTCCGCCTTCTTTCCTTTTTTTTTTTTTTTCTTCCTTCTTTTGTGGGTTCCTTGCAGTCCTACGCGCGTGTATGCGTGTGCGAGTGTTTCTTTTGTGTTTTTGGTTTTGGTTTTGGTTTTGTTCCTGTTTTCGCACTGAATTTATAAAAGGGAAGGCGTGTGCCGGCGTTGAGACGTGAAATCACTGCGCGGTGCCAACAAAATATATAAAAGAAAAATAAAAGAAGGGGGAAAAGAAAACATGCATGTCAACGTGTGAAACAAAATCCCCCCCCCCCCCAAAAAAAAAGAAAAAAAAGAAACAACGGGGTCGCATGTGCGGCTCTCATTCTTTCTTTAATGAAGACGGCGTCCTTCCGCCCGGTAAAACATTTTTCCCCCACCCAACGCCACCCAAACAAAAATAATAAAAATAATAATAAAAATAAATGAAAATGTCTGTATGCATTTATGTTGGTTGCTCTGCCAAATGAATGCCAACACCCCTCACACACACACACACACATATATATATAGAGAGGATCCATGCCTCCAGCATCTGTTACGAGACGAAGGAGCACACAATCTCCTTCCCACAGACGCCGCAGAGCGCCCGCGTGTCGCTCTGTTGATTCAGAGCGCTGTGAAACTCCTGCTGAGCCATCTGCTGCGCCGCATCCGCCGCCTCCACGTCGACGCAGAGTTGTTTGAGACGAGTCTTCAGCTGCTCCACATCCTCGCGCCGCAGCGTCAGTGTTTCGGTAGAGTGACGCACAAATGTCTCCCGTTCCTCCCGTTGCTGCAGGAGTTTCTGCTCCAACAACGCCGGTAAGTTCCTCCTTTCATCGCTGTTCTCCTTGTCATTTGCCAATTCCTTCTTCTCGCCCGCATGTGCTATGTACATTCCTCCGTCTCTCTCGTCCTTCGCCGTCTCCATCATCGAGTTCTCTGTCCCCAGTGTATGCTCCCCTGTGTACTCACGCAACATCTCTTGTAGCGTCTGTACATCCATCTGAAGGGCCGCCGCCTCCTCCCTTTTACGCGCCACCTGCGCCTCCAGAGACAAGAGGCTGTTCTGTGGCTGCCACCACTGCAGTAACTCGGCATGCACAGCAGCGGAATTGACGAGGTACTGCCGCTGCAGTTGCTGCAAAGAGTTCTTGTGGGCATGGCTCTCGGCCTCTGCATCGCGTCGCGGCCGCCGAACCGCCTCAACGTGCTGCTGCTGTGCCTCCACCTCTTCCTTCTGTCGTTCCAAAAGAGAGCGGACCCGCATGATCTCCCGTCGAAGTGCCTCCAGGCGCGGTTGCTGTTGACTTCGGATCGCGTCGCGTCTGGACTGGTTGCTCTCCTGTTGCTGACGAACTGTCTGTGTGAGTTGGGCAAGGCGCAATTCCTCCTGCTGGAGTGCCTGTTGCGCCCGCTGTAGCGCATCGTGGAAGCTGTGAAGGGCATCGGTGGTGGTGTGATCCAACGCCCCCAGCATCCCCGAGTGTCCGTACGTAAATGCGTAAAAAAGAAAAAAAAATAAATAAATAAATAAAATATAAATAATTGTAATGTAACGTATATTTCTCTCTGTTTGATTTTTTTTTTTTTGTATCTTTATTTTGCTTTGTGTTGTTTGCTGACCCTTATTAAAAGGGTTTTACTTCGTCGCCCTGTCAGAGTGCAGCCAAACACACAAACACACACACACAGAGAGTGACAGAGTGAACGGTGTTGAAAAGTAAAGGCGAGAGCATAACAGAAGAGAGGGGGTGAGAAAGAGGAGGAGGAGGAGGAGGAGGAGTATACCACCATACGTGGGGTTTGCCTCCCATCCAGTACGTACATGCATACCTGCATGGACATGTGCACAGAGATAAAGAGAGAGATAAAGAGAGAGAGTGGAATCGGGCCATCCGGAACACGCACAACACACGTGCACTAAGAAAGACAGAGAGAAGAAAACGGCACCGATGCAGTCATCCTGCTGCAAGCCAAAAGAAAAAAAGAAGAAACAAAAAAAAGTGCAAAAAAGAAAAAAAAAAAGGATCCAGTCGCAAAGAGATCTTCCCTCACACTACCTTTTTAAATCCGTCGTCTGTGGCTTGAAATCCTCTCAATTCATCCCTCAGTGCCTCCCATTACGCCAAAGAGAAATAATGTACAGAGAAAAAAATGAAGTAAGAAAGAGAAGTCGTAAAAAAAAAAGAGGAACCCAAAAACAAAAGGAATCCAGCAGTGCTTGTCCATCCATTCCGCCTTTTACCCCCCTTCTCCTCTCCACTCATACGAACTCTATCGTACAGCCCCGTGAGTTCACCTCAAAAGCAGGAAAAAGCGATCGATTCAGGCTGACACGCTCAAAGGCAACGCCACAGTCAACATCGTCCCGACGGAACCGTATCGTCCGCGTCACCGTGTCAAGAGAGCAGCTGATCTCCTCACCGATACGCACAGCAGCTGTATTATTATTTGTATTAGTAGTAGTAGTAGTAGTAGTTGCGCCATCCTTGTTGTTGTTACAGTGACTCAGCGGTTCCTTCGTGGTGATGCCAGGAGCAGCGCGCTGAAACGCACGGTAAGGCACGTCCACCATCCCCTGCGCCGGACAAAATAAAGTGCCGCGGCCCAAATGCAGATAGTAGCAGTTTGTGTACCGCAATGAGTTCTGCGCCGGACCAAACCCCTCCAGAGGCAGATAGCGGTCAGCAAACCCTACAAGCAGACCATCGCAATGCATACATACCCGTATTGTGTACTCGAAACACGACGGAGCAGCAGACTGCTGCGTAGTGAGAATTGTTCGGTGGTCCAGTGCCCCGAGCGCGGAGACCGTCATGGTGTCCAATAAACTTGGAAGCAACAGGCGCTGCAGACGTGTGCCGTTGTTTGACACCTGTAGGCGCCCCCCAGTAAAACCAAATGTGTGGCGTGGGATTGGCCCACGGATTCTTCCATTCACGTAAACTTGACGCGTGGCGCTACCGTTCGCTGCCACTTCACAATCATCATCTTTTTTTACTCCTCGAGGAATCCGAGGTGGGGGCGATGTGAAGGAAGTGATCTTGTCGCCCTTTAGAACCCCAGCGTCACCGCCAGCGTGGCCAGTTGAATGACTCGTGCGAGACGGCTCCCCGCGTTGAAGACGCTCCAACACCGTGCCCAGCCGCTCCGCTACGGCGGTCGCAAGAGGCTCAGTGAGAGGGTCACACAGAAGGACGGCCGCAGAGGCCATACGCCGCCGCCCCGACGTGTCCACATCCCGCATCTCCTCCAGCAGAAGGTGCAGCATATCCCGCTGCTTCCTCAGGTGCTTCGCGAGTCGGCAGTTCTTCTCATGGCCCACAACGCCGGTGGCATCCCCTGAAGTGATCGGCTCGACAGTCTGCAATGCATCGTTCAGCAGAGTCACGGCTTCCATCAGCTTCACGACGCACTCCGCGGCAAGGCGGCGGTCTCTCCCACGGGAAGTTTCATCCCTAAGCGGTGAGGTAGAGGTCAGGTGTTGTTGTTGCTGCTGCTGCTGCTGCTGCTGCTGCTGCTCTTCTTCTTCTCGTCGTGGCCTCCGAAGAGCGTAATCTCTTGCGAAGAGCATTGCCTCCACCGCATAATCCACCTTCGCTGCTAAACTCCGTAGCCGTGTGTCCAGCGACGTGTCCACGTGCCCGACGGACCTCGCCAGGAAATCGCGGCGGGATGCCTGCGACTCCACCGGCTGAAGCCAACTGGTCCCCGCCTGCGGAGCAGAAGATGAGTGCCGGCCCGTCGCATGCGCAGGCAATTCTGGCAAGTCGCGCAAGCCCGTCTCTCTTTCATCCCGCAAGAACAGACACCGCAACGCGGCCGCTTCATTAATGCAAGGCCGCTGATTTTGTAGTGGTTGTTGTTTGCTCACGGCATTCCTGGCATGATGCGGCTGGCTGTTTGCATCGCGTATCACCGCCTCGAGTCGCTCGCACCGTAAATTCCCCCCATCTCTTTCCTTCTGCAGTTCCAAAAGCCCCGCACTCATCGCTGAAATATCCGCAGCTGCCTTGCGCAGCAGTCGCTCTGCCTCATCGTTGCGCAAAATCTCCTCCTGTAACTCTCGCCTGCACCCCGCCAACTCTGCGGCGTCGGCGTCAATTCTTTTCTGCAACTCGCTGATGTTATCGTGAAGCCGCCTTGCCTCCTGCTGCTGCGCTCCCAATTCCGCCTCGGTTGCGGCGCTTTCAGCCGCCCGCTCCTGACGCAGCTCTTCATATCGTTGGCGAAACGCCGCAAGATCTGTCTGCAGCTGCCGCAGGGCAGCATCGGCGGCAGACTCATTCGCTGCGATAAGAGCCTCAAAACGCGCCGCCTGATCCTTCAGCGATTGTGTCGCGTCTTCACGGCAACGCTGCAACTCCACGCGAAGATCCTCCATTGTTTGTTGTGCCTCCTTGTACTGCAGCGCCAGTTCGTCCGCCCGACGGCCCTCCTCCTCTGCTGCACTTGTAGCTGCACATAACTGTTGCTCGTTGTCTTCCGTCCTGCGCTGCATTTGTCGCAAAGACGCATTCACATCTCGCATTGCCTTCTCCTTTTCATCGTAGGACTGCCGCAACTCCTCTAACTCACGCTGAGTTTCTCTCAGACAATTGGAGGCCGTTGCCTCCCTTTGACTGGCGGCGGCAAGCTCGTGCTCAAGTTCTTCGATTCGCCGTTGTTGCCGCCGCTCGTCTAATGTATGTTGGTGCTGCAGCGCCTCCGTTGCGTCTTTCAGGCGTTGAATTTCCGTCGAGAGCATCTCCACCTGCTGCGCACGTAACTGCAGCCCATCCAGCGCGTCCTTGTTGGACGCCTTGGCCCCATCGTAGGCCCGCCGCACAGACTCCAGCCGCTCCTCGGCCCCTTTCGCGCGATCCGCGGCCCGACGCGCGTTCTCCTCCGCTTCCTCCCGCTGCACCAACTCATCCCGCAGCCGCTGCTGGGCTTCGCGCTCCTGTTGCCTCAGCGCCTCCATCTCCTCCATCCAGCGCCGCGTCTCCGCCTCGCGTTCACGTCGCCTCTTATCTTCCTCAGCCTTACGCCGCTCCGCGGCCTCTTGAGTTTGCCGCTCCAGCTCCTCCCGCCTCACGCGGCGCCTTGCCTCCCGCATTACCTCGCCTTCGTAGAACTTCTCCAGGAGAGAGCTACGCTGAGCTCGAGCCCCCGAAGTCTGCGGCGGGCTCAGTGTGCGGTTGAACGGATCACACGGACATGGTGGGGAGTCTGACAGCGATGGCAGGTCGCTGCTGGAATCATAGTCCTCTCTTGTGCGCACGCTAAAACTCTGCAGCGACGCAGACCGCTCCTCTGGTCGGAGCAGCGTCATCCGCTCCCTCCACGCGTTCACGCGCAGGTTCTTCCATGACTCTAACTGCTGCAAACAAATACGACTTCGCCGTGCCGCCTCTTCCTCCGCGCAAATACGACGAACGACAGATCGACCCCGTGCATCAGCATTTGGCGATAAACAAACCTGCTCCTCACTAACATCATGAGAATTTCCCACCGTATTTTTCTTGGGCGATGTGACAGTCACCGGAACATGTGGAGGAAGCAACGACTCCTTGGCCAGCACATTCGCATGCGTTCCGTCCCTTCTTCTTTCGCCACCATGGCGGTCTGAATGCATCTGTGAAGGTTCAATGGTTTCAGGTATCCTTTTATTGTTCTTCTCCTTTTTACAATGCGGTGATGTATTCATACATACACGGCAATTATGCAGGTAAAGGTATATATATATATATATATGCCGCTTCTAATGACTTTCTCACTGCAAATGGGTATATATCTCACCACCAGCAAGGGGGCAAAATGTCGGTAGCCGTACTTCACTCTTAGTGATCCCCTGCTGTTCAAGGGAGTGAAGCAACAGCAATGAAAAAAGCGGCAAAAAAAGAAAAAGAAAAGAAAAAAAGAAGTGGGGGGAAGCAAGCACAATGGAATACAAGGCATTTCTTCATTCTATAAGCGTTGGAGTAATACACACACAATTTCTGTTTTTATTATTAATAGTTTTGGCGGCAGAAGAAGTCGTGGTGGTCATTATACCAGCCATTCGTGCTGGGGCATTACTGGAAACTGTTTTTCTGCTGCATTCATATATATATTTTTTATTATTTTTTTTTTCCTCCTTTTTTCCTTCTTTCACTTTTTTTTTCTTTCTTTCTTTCTTTCTTTCCTTCTTTTTTTTTCCCCCGTTTCTACCGGCTGGCCTCCTTGAGGCAACCACCCTCATTGATGGTTCCAACCACAACAGCAGTGGGAAAAAAAAAAGAAAAAAGAAGAAAAGTTCAAATAAAAAAATGTTGATGGATACGGCCAGGGGGGGGGGAGGGAGCAAGTAAACCACACATATAATATACACATGTATTTATATATGCAAGCAGCCCCTGTCCTTCTCGTTTTCGTCGTTTCGCTGCATCTTCTTCCCTCTCCATAACATGCCACTGACTGTTCCGTGTTGTTTCTGCTCCCTTTTTTTTTTTTTTTTTTGATTTTGTCGTGTTCTTACACCTTTTGTTTGTGCAGGAGAAAAAAAAAAAAAAAACCCTGTCGCATCCGCACAGCCCCCTTTGGTGAATAATATGATCCTTCCCTTCTCGTTGGAGTGAGTGGAGAATGGAGAGTCGTGCTCTACAGAAGCCGTGCCTCCCCCTCCCACCTCCTCCCGCTTCGCCCAATAATAATAATAATAAGAAGAAGAAGAAGAAGATGTCGTCGTTGTCGTCCTCATCTTCATCGTCGTCGCGTCACTTCCGGTGCGTTGGGGTCATCGTCCAGTTTGGTTCCCACAGAAAGATGAGCTACAGAAAGACCCGACGCGTCAACGGCTGGACGGTCAATGTACACGCACTGCTTCGGTGGCTTCTGGCTTGTGAGACCCTCGCGAATGCCTGCAGGGATGCTCATGACGGTTCGACAGCGCGGGCACATCGCAAGACTTGTGTTCTGTGGCAGAATAAGAATGCAGCGGCAGCACACACACGTCACACTGAACTGCTGCACGGGGGTGATGGTTGTGCACATCGGGCAGCGCACGGAGGGGGCACCGATGGGGTACGCCAATGTCACTTGACATCCCTGGCAGACAATTTGTCCGGTTGACTGCGGCTGGTGCGGCATGTGAAGGAGACACGCGATTGTCTGTACAGCCCCTTGACACACAAGCACACACACACTCTCTCTCTCTCTTTCGCCTGCTGCTACTACGCCCGCCTCGTTGCGTCCCCCAACACTCTTCCGTGCAGGAGTTGAAAGAAAACCAAGAGAGAGAAAGAGACAGAAAAAGGGAGAAGGAGGAAAGAGAAAAACAAAAAAAAAAAAATGGAGGGGGGTGGGTGGAGAAGCGCTCCTTTTCACCTTTCACTCCTTCTGGTTGCGTGCCGGCTATAACAACAGCTGTGGCCTTGGATGCAAAGACGGCGTGTGACCCGCAACACCCGCTCTGTGGTCTCCTTTCAAACTAAAATACAGAAAAGAAAAAAAAAAGCTATTAAAATAAAAAATAAAGTGAGAAGTTCCCCTTTTCTTTTCTTTTTTTTTCTTCTTTTTCTAAAAAAGAAACTTTTTTCTTGTTTCTCTCCTCCTACCGTTGGCTTGTGGATAATTCCCACCCTGCAGAAAAAGGGGAGAGGCAGAAAAGAGAAGGGGATCGACCCAAAAATGAAAAAAAAATAAATAAATAAATAAATAAATAAAGTGAGATGCATGCAGGCAAAATAGTGACATGTAAACATGTCATACAAATGAATGAATTGGGCCCACCAATAAACACGACGCTGCATGCAGCAAGTGATGACACGCATACATCACACACACACACACACACACACACACACACACACACACACACAGAGAGAGAGAGAGATGGCACATAAATCTAAATCCGCAAAGGAAAAAATACAAAATAGTTGTTTTTGTCCGTTAGTAATATTATTAGACTTTTGTTTTTACCCCTGAAGAAGGAAAAACAACAACACAAGAATGAAACAAAAAATTGAAATGGGTTTATATATATATATATATAGTTTGTATGTGTGTGTGTGTGTGTGTGTGTGTGTGCGTGTGTGTGTGATGTATGCGTGCCCGTCTTCCTACTCGAGAAGCCTTCTCACATTGCAACTTCCATGTTGTTCTTTCTTTTCCGTTTTTTGGTTGGTTGGTTTGGTTATTGTTGTTTTGTTTTTGTTTCGTGTTTTTTTTTTTTTTCTGTCAACTGCTGCTGCCTGGTTTATTTATTTCCTCCTCCTCCTTCTCTCTGTCTTTCTTTCTCTGTCTTGCGCGGATGCCGTCACGCGTAAACTAGTCTTATTATTAATTTTTTTTATTATTATTATTTTGGACGGACGTTCATGTCATTGCATTCCTCACAGGGTGCGACTCCCTCCTGTGTTGTGGACGGCACTGCCTCCGATGCATGAATCGTCGTCTCCTCCTCCTCTTCCTCCTCCTCCGCCAGCAATGCCACGGATGCATCTCCTCCATGCATCATCGATGCTTGTTCCGGCGCGCTTCCCTCATCCGCCTCGCTGTTCTCCTCCGCATCATTATTGCCATCCCCGTATGCATACGAAGAATCCACCCCCTGCATCGCCCTCAACTCCACAAGCACCCTCTCCAGGCGCCGTTGCTGTCCAACAAAACGGGGTGTGATACCAATGAAGTAGCGCATGCCATCATGTTCCACACGACAAATGGCATAGCGGTCCACATGCACCAGGGCCCGTGTGATCGGATCCCGCACCCAGTGCTCATCGGTCTCCAAGACATCACGTGCCTGAATGTATAATTTCTTAATCCACGACAAGAGGACCTCCTCCACATTCGTCTGTCTGTACGAGAGAAAGTCATACTGCTGTGCCTCCGGCGCACTGCCACGCCGCCGCTTCTCGCTTTTAGAAAGCCCACTATTCTCACGGTCAAACGATACATGCACCCAAAAGGCGCCGGTAGGCGCCTCTTTGGGATCCTGCAGGAAGATGTTGCTTGCATGGTTGCTGGTGTAGTTCACTTTCTGACTTGACTGCTCCGACGGGCTTGGCGGCTCTTTGGCAGGCAGAACCCCGTAGTTAGAAAACCCTCGACGCCTGGAGGCCGCCTCAGACGATGGCGGAGTGGCCGCCGCGGAATTCATGCCGCCGGAGTGTTTAATTTGCGATAACAGTAGCTGTTGTTGTTGTTGTTGTTGTTGCTGTCGTTCTGCCATCTCGCGCGGTGTACTGCAGCGCAAGATGTCCCCCTGATACAACCCCACAGAGGGCATGTCGTGCGCCACGACAAACACATCGTTCTGCAGCATTGGTTCTGGCACGGTCATTCCACCCCGCAGCAAGCCACGGTAATTCCAGAAGCGCGGCAAGGGAAAAGCCTTGCTATCCACCGTCAGCGTCAACTGCTGCGCCAGGAGGAGGCACCCACGACGAGCATATGCCGCACTGGCCCAAACACACAGCCGGCCATCCTCGACCCAAATGCGAAAGCGACTTCGACGACAAGCGAAAAGAAATGCCAATTTGGACTGCTTTTGTTGTTGCGACGTAGCCGTTTTCGGAAGAAGAGAGCCTTCATTGGAAGCCTCTGTCACCCACGCCGGGAGACGCACGTGTGACATATTCGTCATGGAAGGATGCTTCAAAGGTGTCGGCTGAACATTCACACCAGACATCATGAGGATCGGCAATGTTCCTTCCGGGTTGGTGTTTTGACTGGCATGATTGCGCAGCCATTTCATCTCCGACGGCTCCGCAAAGAGCTGCCGTGGGGACGTCGCGCTCGGTATGTCTTCCTCAAAAAGAAATGCATCCGCATCGGATTTCCCCACAAACGTGTCACCAATATCCGCGCAGTCAGTGGTGGAAGCAGCGCCGCTGCCACCAACCGCACTACTTCCCCCTTTGCCACCGCCACTACCGCTCGATCCGCCGCGAACCGGCCGCGCTCCACTCCGAGGCGTGCCGGCGTCAAGCAGACTTTGAAGTCGCGCACGCATCTCCCGTACAAATTGTAAAATAGGAATGTTGGAGATGGGTGCACGAAGAATAAATGGCACCATCGGGATGTATGGTGCCCTTATTCGTGCCTCCAAGCACTGACGAACGTACATGTGGACTGCCAGCATCACAACATTACCGAGAATTTGATCCCCAACGTCTTTATCCACAAACATAGTGGCCTTCAGCATGTGCTGCTCGATGGTCTCCCCATTGACGGTCATTGGGATGGTTGTGGGGAAGAGTCCAAACATTCCAAGCACCTTCACGGTGGTTCCAAGAAACTCCACCCCCTCCTCGGCATGTGGCCTCTGGGCATCATAGCGTGAAATAATGGCACATGGAACCGGGCGAAGATAAAAGGCGGCCGGTGACGTCACATGTGTGCCATCTTTGTTTCGATGCGTGTGTTGCTCCTTCCCTTGCATGTACATGACAGCATCCCTGTAGCCGGATGCGTAGGCACTTAATCCCGTGCCAAAGTATTCCTCATGTGTACTGCTAGGAAATTGCCGAGTGGACCTCCGTCTTTCTTGTTGTTGTTGCTGCTGCTTCCGCTGCTGTTGCTGTTGTTGTTGCAGCTGCACCATATATCTTTGCCTGAGCTCCTCATCCGATTCACACATGCAGTATTCCGTCTCTCGTATCAGTCGATGATAAAGACCCTCAATACTGTCCGTGAAGGATTTCTCAAACAGACCGTCCTTGTCTGGTCCATCAGGATCGCTCAGGTCCAGACCGTACGCATGCGCTATTGTCTGGCAGTAGTAATCCGAATCCCAGTCTGTGCTCGCAGGACGCACGGCACGGTAGTAGTACTTCGCCGTGCGGTGATGCCGTGCCCGGTAGAGGCGCTCAAAAAGAGGAGAGTGTTCATCCGGAAAGAACTCGGCGGTAAGTGGGATGAGAACCATCTCATTCCGCCGGTTACGTCCATGTCGGTGACTGTACACCCCCCGTCGCTGCGTCTCTCGACTCGGCAAGGCACCCATTTTGCACCGCCGTCTCCCTTTTCTTTTTTTTTTTCTTTTTTTCGCTCGCCGTGACACCCACAAAAAAGCCGGATGTGTGCGGACAGACGGAGGGAACGGTTTTGGAGGCAAATCCAAAAAAAAAAAAACTAAACAGCCAGCGCCCCTTCCCTTCCCTTCCCGCTGATTACTCGCGATTTACTCGTGTGATGTGATGTGCCGGTGTCCCCCCGATTCCTCTTTTTTGGAGGGAGGGCGGGAGCCGGTGAATCGGCAGGTGCTCAACAAACAAAAAAAAAAAAAAAAAAGAAGCAAAGAAAGTGGAGAAATTTACTTTTTATTTATTTATCTTGTGAGTTTGTGTTTTACCCTCTTTTTTTCTTTTTTTTTTTTATCGTTTGTGGGCGGAAAACAAGTCTCGGCCTCCTCCTGGGATCTTTGCGCCCCCACCCCCATGCCAACATTGACACCGGCCGCAGAAAAGAATGTGGTGGAGGCGAACAGATGCGCAGGTGAGATGTCCACAGCAGTCATGTAAACAACAGGCCATGCATCCGTACAGGCAGGCAGGCAGGTGGAAAAAAAGTATAAAAAAATATAAAACAAAATAGAGATGCACACACACACACAAAGACATGTAAACGCATGTAAATACACACATGTGTGAGTGGGTATATTTTTAAGATGCGGGTGTCAGCAGGAAAACTGAAAAAATAAAAATAAAAATAAAGAAACGAAAAAAAGTGAATTGAAAATTAAAAATTAAACAAAAAACAAGTGGCGTCAATAAATTATCTTCGCCATTCCCACACACAGCAAGAGACACACATACATACATATTACAGTGGCCGCTGTATACATGCATAGGGTGGGGGTGAGACAAGCAGAAAAAGATGGAAGGAAAAAAAAAAGAAACGGGAATAATCTTCTGGGCCGCTGGCTGGATCCTGAAATTATTTACAAAAACCAAACAAGATAGAGAAAAAGGGGGAGTATCGAAGAGGCAGTTAATTGCCTCTGTGTTTCCCTCCGATAATATTTATATATATATATATATGTATTATATATAAATACTGTTGACCGCTCACGTGGCCTCTGCGCTCAGTGAGTGTATGAAATATTTATTACTTACGACGTGGCAGACTTTGGGCTCCTCCAACCC